AGCCTCCTAAGTCTAATATGGAGGTTCATGTAACAGGACAGGACATTTCTTTCGTCACAGCTGACGAGAGAGCCCACCATACTGCTGAATGTGCTGATGACTAAAAGAAAAAAGAAAAAAAAAAAAGACGAGACTCCCGCCATTGTAGAGTCTTGCAAGGGTCTGGCTATTGGTTCCATCTGTTCACCAATGTATCTGATTCTGATGCAATACTTCTTCCCAAACTGTTTCACGTGATCATCCGAGGAGAATTAAACAGGTAAAGTTTCAGGTACTTGACTCAGATTAACAGTTGATTCAACAACATTAATCATCAAATCTCTTGAAAGCCAGACTGATGAGATCATGTTGCAGGCTGCTCTGAGGACATGACACCAACATCTATATTGAAACATATCCCATTATTGTTTTTTGTATGGCTTAATCTTTGACTTTTTCCTATTTTTAGTTCTTAAATGAGTGTTCTAAACTTTGGCTTTTGACATGCAACAGTTTGGTACACAGAAAAGAGAAATAACACCTATACCCTCTACAAGTTTTAGCCATGATGTCAAGTTTGGAATTAAGTGGAACAGCCAAACAGATACGATTATACGACAAAAAATTTACGTTTTTAACAAATGTTAACAACTATAATTTGCTTGGCATCTGAAAGAAGCATCTAAGACTCAGCAATCATCTGTTATCACTGTGGTAGCCGGTATTGTGTGAATATCAGAAGAACTCAAGCTCTATTTGGCAGTCTTATTATTCTTATCGACTCATTCTATCATCCTAGGCTTGGCTATGCGAATCATTCAGAAGACAACAACCGGTAAGCATAAATCAACATCAACTAGAGTAAGCAAAGCTAAAGAGAGAATCAATAGGTGACATATCAGATATTACCAAAATCCCACAAAACTCCAAAACTTGTCATATTTGTGGTAAGCAACAGAAAAAAAAGACCCAGAATTTACATAAAAAGCTTCATATTTTATAATAATCTGAAGCTAAAAATACCACAATTCGCAACAAATTCCCATACCCAGAAGCTAAAACATCGAAATAACACAAAAAAAAATCCACATATCTCATGTAGAAATACACGAGACACCTGTTGTGTGACACATCATAGATCTGACTTGTACTGCTTCAACTCCTCCTCAGTGATCTCTCCAAGCTGCTGCATTTGTTCCTCGAAGTTTTTAGACCTCCCAGAGACCACATAGTAGAGGGCAAGAGCCACAGCAAGAACTGTAATGAAGGTCGCCGAATACAGACCCGGATATGCTGTGACTGGCCAGCTCAAATTCTCCCAAAATCGCCAGGCCATGGATTTATGAGATGAAAGACCGAAGAGAGAAAATGATCTTCAATAGATGGTAGAAAAACAGGGGAGGAGTAGAAGACAGTTCTTGAACCGACGGGGGCAGGTAGTTGTTTTACTAAAGTCAATTTTTTTTTTTAATCAGGCTGGTGCACATGATGATAAACGCCTCGTCTCGTGATAACCTTCTCTATTTCTGTAGCTGCATATCCTCGTAGGCATAGAACCTGTCGTTATCTCAATTGTACTACTGGAGATTTTGGAAAAGTCGAAATAGGAGAACGGGCTTACTCCTTGAGGTTCGAACTTGGGACGACAACAATAGATGTGATGAGTATTAGGTTAGCCATTAATTTGTAATAAAGTCAAACTTGACTTAATGTTAAGTCAAAAGACTTGAATATTATTCTTAGAATTCCTATTCTTTCTGGACTGGAAGTACAACTGAAATCATTTAATAGATAAAAATATTACAAGAAAGAAGAAACTTGTGAAAAGCAGAAAAGAATACAATTTATGACACTCCCCTCCTCTAAAACCACCGCCACTACCACCACCATTATTAGACATGATCTCTGGTGGTGGAACTCTCAGCATCCTCAAACCTATGTAATATTCTCAAAAAGAAAAAAGAAAAAATAGATTATATAGAATTTCGGACATGTACACTCTCTATTTTAGCACCATTAACCAATCCCCTCTCTCACATTTCTTATATCTTTGTCTATCTATCCCCCTCTTCATTGCGTGTGAAGTGAACACTTTTGCATGTGTGTATGCATGTGAGAACGAGATTGAGGTTTGGTTCGATAGTCGAATAGCCTACAAGGATTTTGAAGATCAATAATATTTTATTTAGTCCTTCCACATCACCATATACCGCTTCCATTGTTTTTAGTTTGTGACTTAATTACACAATATTTTCAGATTAATCTCGAGAATTTAGTCATGTTGACACATTATATTCTGAATTGACTACATTTATAGGCAAATGCATAAGAAACACAAGATCATCAAGAACACAAATTCTCCCAAAACGTACATTCACATAAAAGTGTATAATTTGATGCACATTGCTCATAAGAAAAAATCCAACATATTCTACATCATAAAACCAGAAAACTCTATTCCTCTGCTTTCAAATGAAGGACTACATTATCAAGTCCAGGAAACATAATGAACCGATGACAAACAATCAGTTGTGAAGTGGGTTTGGTCCTGCAGGGACTAGTAGGCGAGAAACCGTGTGCATTTGGTTGTTCTCATTACTCATGGATTCTACAAAGTGAGGAACGGTAGAGAAGTAATGCAAAAAAGTAGAGATGAACTTTGCTCTTTTTCGTTCTTCTGCTTCAGCAGAAGCAGGATGATTGGCAATGTACCGGCAGGTGCACATATGGACTAATAGCATTAGAATGATCACGAAAAATGTGAATTGAAATGAAGAAAATCGAGTTCTCATCATCCTAAGATTGAAAAAAGAGCTATACCCAAGAGTTGGAAATGGAGAAATGTAAGTGTTTTGTTGGTGTGAAATGTTAGCAAGATCCAGGTCCATTTATATGGGAAGAGATGGGAAAGTCAGAGCCTAACTTCCTGTGCCACCGACCAATACTTCTTAATTTTTGTAAAATGGAAGTTGACTTCATTTCATTCACAAAAGTAAACTCCCTTGATACATCATTTTCTATTGGATATTGTTAGTTTTTTCATGAGATTTCAGACTAGGTGAAGAGAAACCGGCTGTTTAGACGGTTGGAAGTTGGAATCTGACTCCGAATATAAGAGATTCCATGGTTAACGGTTTGCAGGAATGTTGTCCTTGTTCCATTCATGAAGACATATGACCAATTCAATGTTAGATTTTTAATAGTTTTTGCAGCCAACTAAGTCTAACATGGAGGTTCATGTAACAGGACAGGACATTTCTTTCGTCACAGCTGACGGGAAAGCCCACCATACTGCTAAACGTGCTGATGTCTACAAGAGAAAAAAAAAAAAGAAGACGAGACTCCTGCCACTGTAGAGTCTTGCAAGGGCTGGGGTATTGGTTCCATCTGTTCATCAATGTATCTGATTCTGATGCAATTCTTCTTCCCAAACTGTTTCATGTGATCATCCGAGGAGAATTAAACAGGTAAAGCTTCAGATACGAGACTTGGACTAACAGTTGATTCAACAACATTAATCATCAAATCTCTTGAAAGCCAGACTGACGAGATAATGTGGCAGGCTGCTCTGTGGACATGACACCAACATCTATATTGAAACATATCCCATTATTGTTTTTTGTATGGATTAATATTTGACTTTTTCCTATTTTTAGTTCTTTAATGAGTGTTCTAAACTTTGGCTTTTGACTTGCAACAGTTTGGTACACAACAAAAAGAAATAACAGCTATGCCCTCTACAAGTTTTAGCCATGATGTCAAGTTTGGAATTAACCGGAAGGGCCAAACCGATACGAGACAAAAAATTTACTTTTTAAACAAATGTTAACAACTAAAATTTGCTTGGCACCTGAAAGAGGCATCTAAGACTCAGCAATCATCTGTTATTGCTGTGGTAGCCGGTATTGTATGAATATCAGAAGAACTCAAGCTCTATTCGGCAGTCTTGTGATTCTTTTCGATTCATTCTATCATCCTAGGCTTGGCTATGCGAATCCTTCATCACCGTTTTTAGTTATCTGGGGCATTAGTTTGCTCATTGTGTGCTAGAACATCCATTTTCTTCCAGATTATGAATGTTTTTCTATGGTTTCCATCTATCTGTGGGGTGCTTTTGTTCAAAGGAAATCACTCTTTATTGATGTTGTTTGTTGCAAATGAGCAAACCACCTTCAATTTTCTCATCTTACCATTGATTTTCTCCTTCTATTCATTGAAATTAAATGTTGATCATTACATAAACCTTTTGGACCTCTGTTTCTATAGAGTTTGAAGATATTCCTCTGTCCTGCATTATTACAAGCTGGACAGCATCATGTGCGATGCATTGAATTGCATTTGCAATGTTTTTTTGCTTTTTGTTTCCCAATTTTATGGAATCTTCGACACAACAATAAAGTTGCTCAATTGTGATATGAAAGTCACGAATTCAAATTGTAGAAATAATTTTTCTATTTACAGAGATGAGATTTCCACTAACCTCACAATGGCAAGAATCTCGCGCGNCCCAATTTTATGGAATCTTCGACACAACAATAAAGTTGCTCAATTGTGATCTGAAAGTCACGAATTCAAATTGTAGAAATAACCTTTCTATTTACAGAGATGAGATTTCCACTAACCTCACAATGGCAAGAATCTCGCGCGCTGGATACTCTGTTTTCCCAATTTCATGTCTTAGTTTTTGGCTGACTTGTCCAACTCTATTAGTTTTTGGATGTCTTGTCCAACTTCAACATGCCTTTTTAACTTTTGTCTTTATAATTAATGAAATCATTGTTGCTTGTAAAGAAATAATAATAATAATAATTNCTATTAGTTTTTGGATGTCTTGTCCAACTTCGACATGCCTTTTTTACTTTTGTCTTTATAATTAATGAAATCATTGTTGCTTGTAAAGAAATAATAATAATAATAATTCTACAGATAATATCCTTAAAATATAATTCCAACTATGAAAGATCATTCTACAGCTTAGTGCAAAATCATTAAAGAATGAAATTGCGTGCATCTAACTCTCTCCCGACCCTACAATATTTGAAACTTATGCACTAAGCTGTCCCTTTTTTCATTCTAATCTACTGCATATATTTCACATCATGGGTTATGCAGAAAGATAAGTAGCTCTGGTTCAAGCAAACTGGGATCATGTATGTCATATACAAACTACAAATCACGTGAGGAAAAAAAGGTACAAAATTTCACCTACTACAAGGGAATAAATTTCCCTTTTGAACTCAAATAGCATTTTGGACAAACTACAAAGATTGCAGATGACTAATTTATCCTATAGATCATGGCCACCAACCTACAGCCATTGCAATCATCTTCATCACTATCAACCTTCTCCAAATCTCATAAACTACATAGCTTCCACAATTGTGCCACCACCCTCCTCCACCTTACACCTCCCTCGCATCACCACTAGTTCCAAGTTCAAACATTATCCACCCAGCTTTCTTCACCACTGTCTTGGATAATTAGTACCACCATAACATTTCATGAAATTAAACATGTTGCCACCCAGAGATCGACCACATGACATCCCATTCCTCAGCGAGAGCAACCATAAACATGACTGAGAATTGATAGGACATCATTTAAAGTTTGATGACTAAAGGCTATCAAACTCCACCAGTGGAAAAGGAGGCACAAGCTAGGCATGACAGAGCAAATTCATAGTTAAACAGGCTGCCTTCAGAAATGACTTGCCAACAAAAGGACAAGAAACCCACACCAAAAAATCCACAGATGAGAAGCGAAACTGGTTTAGAATAGCTCAAGATGCAGCTCCCCGATTCCTTATTTAATACAACACACTAAACATTCAAGCAAATTTGATTATAGCAACAGTATCCAACGCTGAGAAAAAAACCTCTTACACGAATGGATTCACAAAAAAAGGAGCACCCAACATTCTTCTTTCTAAGCATCCCATCAGAACTGTTTCGCTTGGTTCTGGAACAACATTTATTCTTTTTTGTCGGCATCAACATTAGGTGTGCTCTCCACAGTTTCGACAGCTGCATTCTCTGATGGACCATCTTCTGCAGACTTAGCAGCATCTCGGTCAGTGGTTTCAGCAGGTTCACTAGTATTCGATGCATCAGTTACTGGAATTGTGCTCTTAACAGTTCCGACCGTAACATATTTGCTCATAAACTTGTATTCCCAATCTTGTAAGGCCTCAAGCTCAAATACACCAAGACCAGAGATATCTCCTGTCAGATCCTTCTCTTCAAAGGACATCATTGCGAGAGCTCTGCTAGCATCTTTCCCCGCAAACAGAGCATAAGGCCCACCCGGTCCATAAAACATCCTGTAAAAGGATGGGAACAAATACAAATGCACTAGTGGAATGAACTAGTTACAAAACCAAGCAACAGTAAATTGGGTTTTATATATAAACAGAGTGCAGAATTAGTGGTCGTATGGGTGTTTAAAAAACTAAATGTGAGAGTGTAAGAGAGACAGAGAGAGCATTGCAGGAGTTATGATAGTACACTAACATAACCATCAGTCTTAAATCCAAAATCAGAGAAGAGGATACAAATTTCAACAACACAAAAGGCCTTAGGTTGCAAAGTGCAAGCCAGGCCCAACATAGGACAGATCTTGGCTTTGATTACTGAGCTCCAAGCTTTTAGGCGATTAACAATTACCCCTAAAATTAGAAACAAGAAATAGCTGGGTACCAAGGTTTGTCAACAGAAAAATCAAATCACATGTACAAAATTTGAGTAATAGCAAGTCCCTTTCTCTTGAATAAACCAATATAACAGCATACTTAGAGTGGCACACCTTTATACTAATTTTCAGAACAGAGGATAATTCTTCTTTTTTTTTTTTTGTATATAACACCATCAAAACCCCCAAAAAATATGCTAAAATCTTCAGATTCTAATATCCAATAAACACAACTGAATCATAAAATTTTAGGATTTGGATCCTCTCAATTTCAAATTTCGTCATTTAGATCCATAAATCCATCATCAGAATCAAGCATATACGAAAAGCGAAATATTGCAGTAAATCAAGTACCTTTTCATGGAAAACAATCCACCAAGAACAAATCAACATAAAAAAATAGAGTAGGGAAAGAGGGAAATCAATAGGTAAAAAAGCATAAAGCAATCCTACAAAGACACAGACAAATGTGCTCAGCGGGGGGATAGGGGAGCAGAAAAGACCAAAAATTTACACAGAAGCTTCAAAGTTTATGATAATCTGAAGCTAAAAATACTACAATTCACCAAAAAATCCCACACCCAGAAGCCAAAACATCGAAATAACACCAAAAATCCAATGAAATACCTGCTCTGTGACACATCATAGATCTGACCCTTGATTGCCATGAGCAAAGGCTTCTTAGAATCAGACCCATCGTACTGCTTTAACTCCTCCAGAGTGATCTCTCCAAGCTGTACAGGAGGAGGCAAAGGCTGCATCTGCTCCTCGAAGTCCCTAGACCTCTGATGATGACCTTGATTGGAGGACCCAAACATCCCAGAAACCATATAGTAGATAGCAAGGGCCAAAGCAAGAACTGTAAAGAAGGTTGCTGGAGAGAGACCTGTGTATGCTGTGATTGATTCTTTCAAAGTCTCCCAAACTTGCAGGGCCATGGCCTTACGAGATGATAGACTGGGGAGAGAGAGAGCGAGAGAGGTGACAGAAACGAGGTAGAAGAGTCTTAGAGATTTCTTAGACAGATGGGGCGGGTGCTTGTCTGTTTATCTACTCATCAATCTCAGGTATCTTCTCGTGATGGGGATTTTTTAATAANCGAGAGAGAGAGAGCGAGAGAGGTGACAAAAACGAGGTAGAAGAGTCTTAGAGATTTCTTAGACAGATGGGGCGGGTGCTTGTCTGTTTATCTACTCATCAATCTCAGGTATCTTCTCGTGATGGGGATTTTTTAATAAACAAATTATACCAAATCACTAAGGTTAATATAAAATACATTATATCCCCCCAAAAGTTTGAAAAATTATAAAGAATCCCTTAAAGTTTAAGATTAAATTGCAATAAATCCCTTCTCAGAAGATATATTAACCTGATGTCGACTGCTATTATTAAAATACCTACTTTGCCTTCATTGAAAAAAAATAAAAGGACAAATTATATTTTAATCTTCTAAATTATAGGCTAGATTTTGCCTTGTCAAATTATTGAATTATTTATATTGCCTTTCAACTAATTGAATTATACTATATTGTCCCAAACACAAACTTCTACTATTTTTTTAGATGAAAATTGAAAACTCATCATAACAAAGTGAAAAATAATCACATAATTTGAAGAGTAAAATGAAATTAATATCAATCAAATATGAAATGGAAGCTAATTAGATTTGACACTAATCACATAATTGAAACTATAATATGAAAAATATGACAACCGAGGGACAATATAAAAAAAAGACATAAGTTAAGAGGCCAAAATATAATTTACCTAAAAGAAAATTAGAATGAATAAAAAAATACCAAAAAAATCAATAAGATGATAAAAAATGCAAGTGGTAAAATGTACTAGGTGGATTATATTTTGTATTTTTAAAGATTTAAAAAATTTTATTTTACATTCCCAAAAATTGAGTTTTTTATATTATATCTTTAATATATTAAAAATATTTTAATGTGACACTTCCATTAGTTTTTACTTTTCATTATGCCAATGTTAATAGGGTGATTTTGATGAAATAAATAACAAAAGTTAATAAAAATATTATATTATAATACTTTTAATATATTAAGGATGCAATATAAAAAGTTTAATTTTTAAAAATATAAAATGAGAATTTTTAAATATTGTTGGGTTCAAAGTGTAATTCTCTTAACTGGACCTCCTATCTGATCCAACAATTAGGGCTGTAGCACCTATTCGACTATCAGGTGCCAGAGAATCAGAGATTAGTTGAGAGAGAGAGAGAGAGAGAGAGAGGCTGTGAAGCATGGCCGGAGAAGGAGATCATCATGGACATTACGCAGAGGGGGCTCACGGTGGTGACTTCAGGACCAAAGTATGGACCATGAGTGGCGGGCCTTACTGTAGGCCCAAGCACTGGAAGCGCAACACTGCCATCGCCAAGGCCGGCATCTTCCTTATCTGCAATCCCATCGCCATGAAATCTGCCGAGCTAGAGGTCATTCTCTTTCTCTCCCCCCCCTCTCTCTCTCTATATATATATATCTGCAAGTGTATAGTCACAGTCTTTTTGTTGTATCCCATTCTGTTTGAATGTTTATTTTTTCTTATTAGTTTAACGTGCAAGATCTGAAATTTGATTACCTCAAATCGATTTCTTTGTTGAATTTTTATTAGAGTAAAGCCAATTTGATGATTCCCCCAATACCTAATTGTTATTAATCAAAGACTAATAGTGTCTCAGGAATGTTTCAGGGGATGTCTCATTGGATATGATCCGTTAAGTTTAAGAGAACACAATTCTAGGGTAGCAATCATGGGGTGTCATTGCGTGTCGAATATTAGTCGACCATAATTCAACCAATTTAATTAATCGTGTCATACCGATTGACCAGTTTTGATGTCGAATTCATGTTGCTGTATATAAATTTCGAATAAAGAATTTAACACTACGATCTAAGTCTAAGATTCTATTATTGAGTCCATACTCATATTTTTTTTATAAATTAAAAATTAACTTAATAAACATCCCAATAATAATAAGTAAAAATATTTTTTTGTATAATAATTATGTCAATGCTTAATAAATAATAACAAATAATTAGCATTTGATTTCTATAATATTAGTTAAAAATGTTAATCCTATCAATTTCGTGATCTTCGTGTTTGACGCTAACTTATATCATTTATTATTTGTGTTAATAGGTCGTGTCATTTANTGTGATCTTCGTGTTTGACACTAACTTATATCATTTATTATTTGTGTTAATAGGTCATGTCATTTACAGGGTTGAGAAATGATCATCCCGAACTTACGAATTTCGTGTCGAGATTGAGTCGTGTTTTGCTAGAAATTGCCACCCCTACACAATTCAATTTCAATTTGCTTCACCTTCCATTCTTCCTACAATTTGTAGTAGCTNCGTGATCTTCGTGTTTGACGCTAACTTATATCATTTATTATTTGTGTTAATAGGTCGTGTCATTTACAGGGTTGAGAAATGATCATCCCGAACTTACTAATTTTGTGTCGAGATTGAGTCGTGTTTTGCCAGAAATTGCCACCCCAACACAATTCAATTTCAATTTGCTTCACCTTCCATTCTTCCTACAATTTGTAGTAGCTGTGTGGTAAAAAACAATCTGATTTTTGTTGATTATTCATCATTGGAGGGGAAGGGAAAGTGATATGTGATTTCCTTCCTTGGTATGGAAATGCTGGGATAGTATGACTCACGACGTTGGTCCAAACTCTAGATTAAGTTCCAACAATGTTGCTCTGCACACATGACAACAAGACAAGTTCATCCTGATTGCTTAAGATTTTGTGCAAGTTCAATTTACCAACTTCTGTTAAACTAGCTTAACATATAACCTGACTTCTTAAGTGTCATGATTCAATAGTTTTAGACTTATGACCGTTGGAGGATTCCTTTAATCTGTGCAAGACAGAGAGCACCTTCATTTTGGGCTTCGGTTTCTAAAGATTTCAAAGGAATCCCACTCTTTGCTATTTTAATGGGATGGAGAGCTTTATGTGATCTATAGACTTTATATTTTTGCCTTTCATTGTATTTTTGCTCTTTTGTAGTTAGATATTCTGCTTTTATATTAATGCAATACATTTTGTTTCCTATCAAAAAAAGGGAAGGGGGGGGCAGCACTTCGGTTTATGCCTTTGGTCACCTCAATTGAATTCTGGTAACTTTTTCTCGTATTGTTTCTGGTGCATGTTCGACTTCAATTAAACCATTTTCTTCACTCCCCACGAATACACTGTGTAAGACTTCACGTTGTATGATCCATAATTGGTGCTACTTGTCCCCAGTTTCGCACAAATTGTGATGTGCATTGATACTTGTTTTGTGTGCTTCATAAATCAAAGTCTGGTAAAAGGTTATTTTATAACTGGTCTTGACTGGCTTATCAGCTCCCCTTTGGCAGTTTTATTAGGCTATGATTATAAAAGCAGATAGGTGCTAACTTGATGTGACTGTGAGATAATTGTTTAATACCAAATTATAAAGCTCATCATGTATTCTTGAAAAAGAACTTGAAAAAGAAATCTTGGTTGTTGTATGTTGGTGCAGAAAAGGGTTCTTTCTTTTGTAACGTTGATTCTATTTTCTCCAGGTCTGGTGAGCATTAAGTATATGCTCTGGGGATGTCATCATTTTTGTCTTCAGGGGTGATCTTTAAACTTCAATTGAGCTTGTTAAACTTCATCGTGGGCAAGGCTCACAGTCTGATGGCCGGATGATTATATGTTTTGGGAATAATTACTTTCAGTTTCTTTGTGAATCAAGTATGAACCAGCAAAAAGCCAGAAGAACAAGCATCACGTGTAAGAGGGTCCAACTTTAGATTGACCAGAACTGAGACACGCATTCCAGTTGCCTTCAAAGATTGCATGTATGATTATCCATTTGCTACCTTTGAATTCTGCTAGCGCCAGGTCCTTTATATTATTTATCATGGACCAAGTGAGCTTGAACTTGCTTGGTCAATTTCCATCTCATTGGAGAACAAGTTCAAGCATTAGACAGCAATGCCATATCAGTTCATTCGCAAATTTATATGTCTACATGACTGGTGGAAGGAACAAAAGTCTGTTCGAATACTGGAAAAACTAGTAGTTGCAGTTTTGGGAATCTTGAAAAGAAACTATAGTTGCAGTTAGGACATAGAACTTTTTAGTGAAATGTTCGGACTTGTTTCAACTTGATGAAAATTGGACACTTACAGGTTGCCAAGTCCCAATACCGCATGCCTCTATGGAAAGGCTATTGCCATTAGAGCTTTAGCTTCCAGCATACTGATGTGACTGCCTTTGTTTTGTGCATAGCACTGCAGCTCCCCAGATTTTTGAATTTAATTTTGTTTTCAGTTATTAAATTTCATTTTTTGCGCTTAACATGGGTTTCATATGCTGCGTGAGGCCTTTTTGCAACAATTCATTTTAATCCCATCCGGAACAACAATGTATAGAACTTTGTATGAAGTTTCTATCGGGTCACACCTATAGGCATAGCGTCCATGGATGATCTATTCTTGACACATAAAAAGCTGTAGTTTTCCTTAAATTATGTGCACATTTTGATCATGTTCATGTCTTAACTAGACTGTTTGCTCGCAGCAACGGCCACATCCTCGTGTTCGCCCAATTCCCTCCCAGCTCTGGTGCAAGAATTTTGGGAAGAAGGAATACTGATTTGTAATAATTTGCTAGTAAAACATCTGTAGAAGTTTGTATGAGGCAAAGAGCCATCTTGCCCTTTTTTGGTATTTCATGGATGTGTGTTTGAGCAACATGTCCAATTAAATAATAAAACTCTCCCTCTTCATCATCTTCAGCAAGTCCACTCCCCACCACATCTCTTTATTATCTTTTTTTCTTGATGTTGTGATCTATAAGAAAGGCTCTGAAATTCAATCATAAATCACTTCCCCCCCAACAACAAATCCTTTCCCTGAAGTGGTAAAGAACTCTATGGGGTCTAATTNCCACTCCCCCCCCCCAACAACAAATCCTTTCCCTGAAGTGGTAAAGAACTCTATGGGGTCTAATTNTCACTTCCCCCCCAACAACAAATCCTTTCCCTGAAGTGGTAAAGAACTCTATGGGGTCTAATTTTCTTTCTATCTGACAGGACAAATACATGGGAAAGGATGGTTCTTTCATTGGCATTATAGGGGACCAAGGAGAATGCATTGGTTAGTTTATCAATAATGTTTATCAGAGTTCCTTTCCGGACCCTGTAGTTTGTACTATTGAATCCGCTATTATTATCGAACAATATCGGTGCGCGTAGGAAAGTCCTACTACCACCAGACTAAACTTGAGTTCCTGACCAAAAAAAAAAAAACTTGAGTAAACTTTTTAAGGGTCTTATTCTCATTAAACATAAAAAAGAAAAAAGAAAAAAAATACAACATCAAAAATTATTACATCGATATCGTAATCTTATCCTTTGTGGGGTCGTCTTTAATCACGGTGGGTCGATCGACATTTATATGTGCCAGTGTATTGTCTATCTCTTATCCGTAGTAGCCCCTGGGCGGCCCTTTTTTAGCCCTGTATTGTGTCTTACCTATTATAGCATGATGCTGACACAATGACACACAAACTCCACATATTTGCCTCATACCTTCAAAAATCACTTTTTCCATNGACATTTATATGTGCCAGTGTATTGTCTATCTCTTATCCGTAGTAGCCCCTGGGCGGCCCTTTTTTAGCCTTGTATTGTGTCTTACCTATTATAGCATGATGCTGACACAATGACACACAAACTCCACATATTTGCCTCATACCTTCAAAAATCACTTTTTCCATCAAGTCAATAAAAATTTAGGGCCTTAGCTTAAAAAATGTTGATTTATAACCCGTCTTCGAATTAAAAAATATGAAAAAAAAATTTATGAGTTACTATCTAAAAAATTCTAAAATTGGTACTCATAACCAAGTTTTAATTGGTCTAATATGCACAAATTTAGATGTGTAAAATTCAGATGTTTTGAATTCAAATTTTAATAATTCTTTAATTATGTTATAAAATATTTATCTTTTGTGAATATGTTAGTTCTAATTGAAATACACATAAAATGTGGTCTGAACTATTTAGACCATTGAAAAAAAAAATATGATTAATTGTGTATTTAGTATTTAGGACTGAACCACAATGGGGGACGGTGGTGGGGAAACTCTCCGATAGAAGTAGATAGAGAGAAGACAAAAGGCGTGGCTTAGAACACGTAGCTCAGTAGCTGATAACAGCTTGTACCCACAGCATCCGATTCTTGAATTGAGGTATAAAAATAGCCACCATTTCTTTGTCCCTCCTCCACTTGTATCCAAAGGTATCGGGAATGGAACTAGTCACATACCTCTTCGTACTTTCCAAGAATTTATAGTGAATATAAAATTTGTAACTCCTAGTTCATATGAAATACCCAAAACGCCCAATCTCTAGAAATCTAGGACTAGGAGCCAAGCCGTCGGCTGTGATACCAACTTGTTACAGCTTGAACCTTTCAAGTATGTAATGTATAACGTCTTGCATCACACGAGCAAATTATGTATTAATGGAAGCAGAATATTGAACCTCATAACCCATTACGACAATAGCTGACAATTAGAGTTGATAGTTGAACCGAGTTACTCGAGTTCAGTTTAGCTTCGGCTCGATTCAAGGTCAATTCGTGTACAAATTGAGTTTGAACAAATTTTTAGACTTATTTAGAAAACGAATCTAAAAAGCCTCAGTTCGAACTCACATAATTCGGCTCGTTTATATATAAAATAGTTGAATTATTCGAACTCGGCTCATTTTAAATTTGACTCATTTTTTATATAAGTCAAACTTAAATAAATTTTTAGACTAATTTTAAAAAACAAACTCTATTCANCCAGATGTTTTGAATTCAAATTTTAATAATTCTTTAAGATTATGTTATAAAATATTTATCTTTTGTGAATATGTTAGTTCTAATTGAAATACACATAAAATGTGGTCTGAACTATTTAGACCATTGAAAAAAAAAATATGATTNTCAGATGTTTTGAATTCAAATTTTAATAATTATTTAATTATGTTATAAAATATTTATCTTTTGTGAATATGTTAGTTCTAATTGAAATACACATAAAATGTGGTCTGAACTATTTAGACCATTGAAAAAAAAAATATGATTAATTGTGTATTTAGTATTTAGGACTGAACCACAATGGGGGACGGTGGTGGGGAAACTCTCCGATAGAAGTAGATAGAGAGAAGACAAAAGGCGTGGCTTAGAACACGTAGCTCAGTAGCTGATAACAGCTTGTACCCACAGCATCCGATTCTTGAATTGAGGTATAAAAATAGCCACCATTTCTTTGTCCCTCCTCCACTTGTATCCAAAGGTATCGGGAATGGAACTAGTCACATACCTCTTCGTACTTTCCAAGAATTTATAGTGAATATAAAATTTGTAACTCCTAGTTCATATGAAATACCCAAAACGCCCAATCTCTAGAAATCTAGGACTAGGAGCCAAGCCGTCGGCTGTGATACCAACTTGTTACAGCTTGAACCTTTCAAGTATGTAATGTATAACGTCTTGCATCACACGAGCAAATTATGTATTAATGGAAGCAGAATATTGAACCTCATAACCCATTACGACAATAGCTGACAATTAGAGTTGATAGTTGAACCGAGTTACTCAAGTTCAGTTTAGCTTCGGCTTGATTCAAGGTCAATTCGTGTATAAATTGAGTTTGAACAAATTTTTAGACTTATTTAGAAAACGAATCTAAAAGGTCTCAGTTCGAACTCACATAGTTCGGTTCGTTTATATGTAAAATAGTTGAACTATTCGAACTCGACTCATTTTAAATTTGACTCATTTTTTATATAAGTCAAACTTAAATAAATTTTTAGACTAATTTTAAAAAACAAACTCTATTCATTTATTAGAGACAACAGCCTATACCCACAGTATCCAATTCTTCAATTGAGGCACAAAAACAGCCACCATTTCTTTTATACATCCTCCACTTGTATTAAAAACGAAACTAGTCACATACATACCCTTTTATAGTAATATAAGAGTACGATTAAAAGATTTTAAACTCTTGGGTCAATGTGAAATACCCAAAAAGGCCCAATATTTGGAAATCTAGGACCGTTGATTTGACCAATTTGGTTAATTATAGCGCCACAGCTTTGAGGTACGAGGAGGGGGTGTCACAAGCTAACAAAAAGCTGGTGGACCCTAATCACTTCCCAAATTTGGATAATTACTTGCTAGAGTTCTTTGTTATGTATGCTAAAAAAGGAAGGCTGACTTGTGACAGTGATTATCATAGACGATAAAAAATAACATTTCGGTCCATCTGGTGTTTATTTTTACTCAAAAGAGATTTGGATCTTGTTCATTATTAGGGTTATCTTTGTCCCTTTTTATTTTTTTAATGAATTTCGTTTTACTTAATTTATTTTGTCTATTTTTACCATTAGATTAAATAGAGAATAATCTAATATGATCACTTTTCATCATTAGATCAATATGTTTTTATTTAATATAACAATGAAAATTAACAAAAAAAAAACTTAACTGAAATAAAATTGATAGTTGAAAGACTAAATTGAGACAATTAAAAGTTTAGGGACCAAATTAATACCAAAATTAAAATTCATGGATTAATTATGAAATTTACCCTGACTGTTTAGTAAACTATTACGAGGAGGATCAAATTACACTTAAAGCCTTCCTCTTGTGCTAGATAATCTTCACGGGTCGTGTTTGGATGACTGGATAAAGGAGGATCCATCATGTGAGATTGGATATTTAGACTGGATATTCGTTGGTTTTCAAAATCTACGGCCGTAGTTTTTCACCCTCATTATCCCCTCTCATCTGGACAATGATATTCCACGCTGCCTTTGGGATTCACTTTCAACCGACAAGATACACACCACCTTTTACTATTTCACCCTTGTCAAAGCTAAATGAAAGAAATCGCACAAGGAGCACTGTCTGGATTAGAAGAGAACTGCTCCAAAATAGGTAATGGAAAACTCAGAAGTAATAATTACACTTTCGGCCCTTGAACTATATTCCTCTCTCACATTTGTTCAGGTCAATTTAAACAATTAAGTTTTATTTTTAAACACACAACTTCAGATTTTCTACAAATAAACAAATAACGACTTATGCTTGAATTGTATCGATTTGTATATTATTTTTCTGTTGGAATTTTTTTTTTCATGATGCCTTAGATGATTTTTGTGATTAAAAATATATTGTACAGAACAGATTAATTTAAATAACTTAACAAAATATTTATTGCAATATTTTGAAAAAAATACGTAATTTATTGATTCATATTTTTTTTCGTAAAAAAGACAATACTAATAGATTGAATTTTTTTTTATTCCATTCCAAATATGGTATAGAATTAGATCACATTGTTTTACACAAATGTGAAATGGTCACTTTAGTATGTTTTAACTTCACATGTTAATGGGCCCCTCAAATCACATGAAATCTATCCAAAGATAGGATAAGATTTAAATCTCATCTTTATAATCTTCTAATCCAAACTACTTTGCATTGGATTGAATTGAGTCGAATTCAAATCCAATCCAATACTCCGTAGCGATCCAAATATCACCATAAGTTTGTAAATATAAACCACCACCAATGGCAATAGTGTTATTAAACCCAACATCCAGACTACATAGTCATTGTACAAATGGATGCAAATAAGAAAAAAAAAAATGAACCTATCATAGGACCCCATTTATCTATACCGCCAAAAACAACGAAGCTAATAGGAACCTTTCATTGGTTAACATACCAAAAAGCTCCAACACATCGCCACCACCACTTCTACAACTCCAAATAGAACCATCACTTCATATGAATGGGAAATGAAAAACCTCTCACCACCCTTCCTTCTTCAAAACCAACAAGAAGACCCAACCCCAGAAGAAAACGAAGAAAAAGAAGACAAACCCAGGTGTGAATGGGACTTCACTCTCTCCACCGTTGTCTCTTCCAGCACCACTGCCGGAGCCATCTCCGACACCATTGGCGTCATTGAATTCGACCCGTCTGATACCCTCTTGGCCAGCGGAGGAATAGCCAGAAAGATTAGGATTTATAGCTTGAATTCCTTGTTACCCCATGGAAGTAGCCTGAATGAGCTTGGAGTTACATATTCCGATCATGGTAGTGCATGTGATTACTATATATGTACTCCGGCGAAGCTTAGTAGTCTCCGGTGGAAACCCGGGTCGGATGGAAGGGTATTAGGGTCGGGTGATTATGATGGGGTTGTGATGGAGTATGATCTTGAAAGAAGAGTACCTGTTTTTGAGAGGGATGAGCACGGTGGGAGGCGGGTTTGGGGCATGGATTACTCGCGTTGGGATCCGGTTGTCGGAGCATCCGGGTCGGATGATGGGTCCATGCAAATGTGGGATCCACGTTGTGACGGTGGGAAGTGTGTGGGTATAATACAGCCCAGTTTGACACGGAGTCCTGTGTGTTGTGTGGAGTTTAACCCGTTTGGTGGCGCATTGGTGGCCGTTGGATGTGCAAACAAGAAGGCCTACTGCTATGATATGAGGAGCATGGTGGACCCCGTTATGGTCCTTGAAGGGCATCACAAATCAGTGACCTACGTTCGATTCCTTGATCATCATACAATTATAACATCTGGTACTGATGGGTGTTTGAAGATGTGGAATATAGATGGTTCGCACCTGATTAAAACCTACAAGGGGCATTTAAACACGAGAAGGTTTGTGGGTTTATCAGTGTGGAGGAAAGGTGGCCTTCTTGGCTGTGGTTCAGAAAGTAACCAAGTTTTTGTGTATGATAAGAGATGGGGTGAGCCCATATGGGTGCATGGGTTCAGACCAGCGGCTCGAGGTGGTTGCGATGGCGGGTTCGTCGGCAGTGTGTGCTGGAGGCAGGTGGGGGAGGATGAGTGCACCCTGGTGGCTGGTGGGTCAAATGGAGTTTTGCAAGTTTTTGAGGGCAGAAGAAGATCTTTCTCATAAGGTGATGATAATTTTCATTCATTTTACAACAAGATTGAAGGGTATATCATATTCATATAGAAGGTTTAACTCAAACACAAGGGCAGACAAGTTCAACCAAAAGAGATTTGATTGCATAGAGAAAATGTAGAATAATCGAGAGGCCTGGATTGTTTTAGTTTGTATGATTCAACAAACCAAGTTATTATATAAAAGGATTTACATTGAACTTCAACAGTCTCTATTGCAAATATTACTTAATTTCTATGTACAATTGTAAAGACTTTGTTCATTGTTTACTTGAAATCTAATTAACTTTAAAATGCGAGAAACCCTTAACTATATATCTATGGTTCTAATTTTTCAAAGTATGGTTAAGTTCTTTCCACAACTTCCCTCTAATTCCATCCATGCTCCTACAAAAAATGTGGGTACTTTTGATCATGCTTTTATCATCTGGACATTCTCTGTTGATATTTTATCATCTATTACTAACCTCTATTGATTATTACTTGATAGAAACTCAAAAATGATATGATCGTTTAACATGAAGAGTAAAGAAGCCAAGTGAGTGTCAAACTTAAACAACAATGTAGATAGGTCTCCATGCTAGATCTCTAAATGGCCTAGAGGATGTTAATGGAGCAGAATCTTGTGACTTTTGATACCCATACTTGATAGAGTTGAATACTGTATATAGGCTCAAAGTTAAGCTACAAAACTTGAATTCTTACTCAGGTGCAGTTCGATTTCCGCCTCATATGCTTAAGCTTTTGCCTAACTTGGTTCATTTTTGTATTACGAGCTACACAAGACCAATGAAACTCAAACTCACAATTTTCTTATTAAAAATATAGCGTAGAGAATTACTTGGTTATTCATGGCCACAAAATTATCACGCACAAATCTAGTTCGAACTTATCAAGCACTGAACAGCACATTGCTTCCTTGAAGAGTGAACAAGCTTCAAAGTCCGAGCATTTACGATTTACTTTATAATATGAACGAGTTTGAATAAGTTAAAATTAAGACAAATCTTAGTTGTATGTCCGATCAATTGTTTAGCCATCTTAGATTCGGTGGTGATTAAATATATTTTTTTTCGACGGTTAGGGGTGTTCGGGTTAACTTAAGCGTACTTCGACTAATTTCTTTTTCAATCCGATTAAAAACAGGTCATCTACAAAGATATTCATAAATAATAAACTATTATGAAAAAGATTTTAGGCTTCAAAACTATCAAACGAATTCAATTTTTTTGTATTAAACCAACCCACCACGGAGATTTTTGGGTTAACGAACAAAGATCGGCCCTATTTATATGGGTTACCCACTTTCAGCCCATTGGGCTGATCTTTGTTTGTTAACCAGTAACCATATCACAGACGGCCGACCTTGACTGACACCAAGAAGTTTCCAACATTCGAGTAGTACTCTCTCTCTCTCTCTCGTCTTCCCACCTCCAAATTAGAGCGAGAGAGAAACACCGAAAAAGATGGTGACCTCGTCGGTGGTCAACACGTACCCACTGTCGAGCTACACCTTCGGTACGAAGGAGCCCAAGATGGAGAAAGACACTTCTGTTGCTGATCGCCTTGCTCGAATGAAAGTCAAGTGAGTTCAACTTCTCTGTTCTTTATTTCATCTTCTTCGTTTTTAACTATCACTTCTAGATTCTAAAATCATTAGTTAATTAGGTGGGTTTATACCAAAACCCTAGATCAGACTTGCTGATCATAGGGATTTTAGTCTTCAGCCTTGAAAATTTTCTTTCTTTTAGAATTTCCGTTCGTTTTTGTGCTATTTGGTTTTCCGTTGGGGAGGATAATCTTTACATGGTGACTCTGTCAATTGGGCATTGCGTTGCAGCTATATGAAAGAGGGCATGAGGACTAGCGTCGAAGGAATTTTATTGGTATGTGTAAGANCGACTAATTTATTTTTCAATCCGATTAAAAACAGGTCATCTACAAAGATATTCATAAATAATAAACTATTATGAAAAAGATTTTAGGCTTCCAAAATATCAAACGAATTCATTTTTTTTGTATTAAACCAACCCACCACGGAGATTTTTGGGTTAACGAACAAAGATCGGCCCTATTTATATGGGTCACCCACTTTCAGCCCATTGGGCTGATCTTTGTTTGTTAACCAGTAACCATATCACAGACGGCCGACCTTGACTGACACCAAGAAGTTTCCAACATTCGAGTAGTACTCTCTCTCTCTCTCTCGTCTTCCCACCTCCAAATTAGAGCGAGAGAGAAACACCGAAAAAGATGGTGACCTCGTCGGTGGTCAACACGTACCCACTGTCGAGCTACACCTTCGGTACGAAGGAGCCCAAGATGGAGAAAGACACTTCTGTTGCTGATCGCCTTGCTCGAATGAAAGTCAAGTGAGTTCAACTTCTCTGTTCTTTATTTCATCTTCTTCGTTTTTAACTATCACTTCTAGATTCTAAAATCATTAGTTAATTAGGTGGGTTTATACCAAAACCCTAGATCAGACTTGCTGATCATAGGGATTTTAGTCTTCAGCCTTGAAAATTTTCTTTCTTTTAGAATTTCCGTTCGTTTTTGTGCTATTTGGTTTTCCCTTGGGGAGGATAATCTTTACATGGTGACTCTGTCAATTGGGCATTGCGTTGCAGCTATATGAAAGAGGGCATGAGGACTAGCGTCGAAGGAATTTTATTGGTATGTGTAAGAATACCCTCAACCATATGACAGATAATGCATTCAATCTCTCTCTCTCCTCAATTTTGATGAGACCCTTTGATTTGTTCAATTCATGTTGCTATTTTGATCTTTGACTTGAAAACCATTGGGCCGTGTTATTGATTCCTCTTTTTCCTGTCATGCTGAGAAAAATTTGAGTCTTTTTGGTTCCTCAAATTTGGGAGTTGTAGAGTAGGTCAACTACTTAGGAGCAGAAAGGTTTTGATATCTGTTTGAGAGTTACATCTCATATTATATCCCAAAGGACTCTGTTTTATTAAATTCCATGGGAATGTTGTGGATTGTGAGAAAATAAGGATTAGGTTTTTTTGGTGTTTCTGGAAAACAATTATTATCTGCTCCTGCTGTGCCCAGTTGTTGAAATACATGAAGCATAACAAAGTGTGACGTGAAAGGGAGCCATTCATAAGAAATTTTGACATACATCCCATTTCTCCTTTCTTCACCAGTCATAATGCACTAATGATATATCGAAGAACCAAATGAGGGAGATGGCATACATACAAATTGTGATTCCGATACTCAAGTTTAGTGTATTGTAATTGCTACTTCTGGTTAGACTCAAACCACTGGAGAAATGTTACACTTGTAATGGCTTTTCCCTAGTCTAATGCTCCGTTTGGTAGAAAGGATGGAAAGTAGGAAGGATGGGATGGAAAGCAGGAGAGATACATTTTTTATCCTTCAAGTATAGAAAGTAGAAATGATACACTTTTTTTTTTTTTTTATGTTTGGTTGGATGGATAGAAAATAAAAATGACAAATTTTTTTTTGTNACTTTTCCTTAGTCTAATGCTCCGTTTGGTAGAAAGGATGGGATGGAAAGCAGGAGAGATACATTTTTTATCCTTCAAGTATAGAAAGTAGAAATGATACACTTTTTTTTTTTTTTATGTTTGGTTGGATGGATAGAAAATAAAAATGACAAATTTTTTTTTTTAATTTTTTTTTGTATAATATTAGGGGTGACGATCGAGTCGTGTCGTGTCAGATTCGTATTGAGTCATAAAATTATGAGCCTTTTATATTTCTTGTTCGCGTGTCAGATTATTTTAAAGTTTGTGTCAAATTATAATTAAGTTCGTGTCATCGTGTTGAGTCGAAAATTTTTACCCCTAGTTAACATAATTTTTTTTTTTTTTTTAATTTAAAATTTTTATTTTATCATTATATTATTATATGAAATTAATGTANCAATGTTGTGTCAAATTATAATTAAGTTCGTGTCATCGTGTTGAGTCGAAAATTTTTACCCCTAGTTAACATAATTTTTTTTTTTTTTAATTTAAAATTTTTATTTTATCATTATATTATTATATGAAATTAATGTATACATAATATATAGACAAATAAAATACATTTTAACACAAATAATTAACTTTTCATCTATTTTTCTTCCGATTTTGGTAAGTTAGAAGGAAAATTAATTCATTTACTTTTCTATCATTTCTTACCAAACATGATGTTTTATTTATCCTTTCAACTTTCTATCTTTTCATTTTTCCATTATACCAAACGGAACATAAGGAATTGTGAAAACACATAAGGGATTGGATTTTGAATTGTTCAACTTTACTAACCACACCTTCCAGTCCCACTCTAGTCGATGTGGGACAATGCTCCCAGAGGGTATCCAATGAAGGAGATTTTCTTTTTTAGCTAAGGTAAGAAGGTATCAAACATAGGCAGNTGACTAATTTCTTTTTCAATCCGATTAAAAACAGGTCATCTACAAAGATATTCATAAATAATAAACTATTATGAAAAAGATTTTAGGCTTCAAAACTATCAAACGAATTCAATTTTTTTGTATTAAACCAACCCACCACGGAGATTTTTGGGTTAACGAACAAAGATCGGCCCTATTTATATGGGTTACCCACTTTCAGCCCATTGGGCTGATCTTTGTTTGTTAACCAGTAACCATATCACAGNAGAACATCATTTTGTGCAGAATCATTTTTGGTAGGAATATTTTGTATGCAATTAACAGACATATGGTCATCCATGTTAGAATCATGTCAAGAATGCAATCTTTTGCNGGAACATCATTTTGTTCAGAATCATTTTTGGTAGGAATATTTTGTATGTAATTAACAGACATATGGTCATCCATGTTAGAATCATGTCAAGAATGCAATCTTTTGCTGTTCAATTGTGGGATACCTTACTCATTTAAAAACTCTAATACATCTGAACACTCTTTCTCGACATGAGTTCTGATTCAGAAAATAGACAAGTAGCATGGATTGGTAGATGCTATGACGATCCCCTTTTTTTCTCTCTGATTTCTACTGTGGACAAATGCATCTCATATTTGGTGCTCAATGTGAACTCTGCAGATAACTTATTTCGTGTAGCAGTTTGATTTTATCTTACCAACAAGACTACATATACGTGCTTATAAACAACCCCCTGTTGATTTGCTATCCTCCTGATAGCGCTACATATATAGTATGATGCCTATGGGCT